TGGTGTCCATTAGCATGGTAAATGGTTTTCCACCCCCTCACTTTCAATCTGGGGGTGTCTTTGGGTCTAAAATGATTCTCTTGCAGACAGCATATTGATGGGTCTTGTCTTTTTATTGGGGCATTTAGCCCATTTACATTCAGGGTAACTATTGAAAGATATGAATTTAGTGCCATTGTATTGCCTCTAAGGTAACTTACTGTATATTATCTCTGTTCTTTTCTGGTCTATGTTACTTTTAGGCTCTCTCTTAGCTTAGAGGACCCCTTTCAATATTTCTTGTAGGGCTGGTTTTGTGTTTGCAAATTCCTTTAGTTTTTGTTTGCCCTGGAAGCTTTTTATCTCTCCTTCTATTTTGAATGACAGCCTAGCTGGATATAGTATTCTTGGCTGCATATTTTTCTCATTTAGTGTACTGAATATATCATGCCAGTCCTTTCTGGCCTACCAGGTCTCTGTGGATAGGTCTGTTGCCAGTCCAATGTTTCTATCATTGTAGGTTACAGATCTCTTGTCCCGAGCTGCTTTCAGGATTTTGTCCTTTGTCTCTGAGACTCGTAATTTTTACTATTAGATGTTGGGGTGTTGACCTATTTTTATTGATTTTGAGAGGGGTTCTCTGTGCCTCCTGTATTTTGATGCCTGTTGCCTTCCCCAAATTAGGGAAGTTGTCTGCTATAATTTGCTCCAGTATACCTTCTGCCTCTCTCTCTCTCTTCTTCTGGGATCCCAATTATTCTAATATTGTTTCATCTTATGGTATCACTTATCTCTCAGATTCTGCCCTCGTGATCCAGTAGTTGTTTATCTCTCTTTTTCTCAGCTTCTTTATTCTCCATCATTTGGTCTTCTGTATCACTGTCTCTCTTCTGCCTCATTTATCCTAGTAGTTAGAGCCTCCATTTTTGATTGCACCTTATTAATAGCCTTTTTGATTTCGACTTGGTTAGATTTTAGTTCTTTTATTTCTCCAGAAAGGGTTTCTCTAATATCTTCCATGCTTTTTCAAGCCCAGCTAGAATCTTTAAAATCGTCATTCTGAGCTCTAGTTCCGACATCTTACTAATGTCCGTATTGATTAGGTCCCTGGCAGTCGGTACTGCCTCTTGTTCTTTTTTTTTGAGGTGATTTTTTTCCGTCTTGTCATTTTGTCCAGAGGAGAATAGATGAATGAGAGAAGAAAATGCTAACAGGGTAACAACGACCCCGGAAAAATATACACTAAACAAATCAGAAGAGACCTTCCAGAAGGTGGTCGCTTTTCTGTTCACAGAGTTGCTGCTATTCTTTTCTTCTATCTCCTGTTGAGTTCGTAGATGTTCAGAGTGGTTTGTTCCCTATCTAGCTGAATTCCTGGGACCAGACGAAATTTAGGTCTTCTACTCCTCCACCATCTTGCTCCTCCTTATTTAATTTTCTTGCCTAGTTTGCCCTGGCTAGAACCTCTAGTACTATGTTGAATAGAAGTGTCAAGAGTTGGACGTCCTTGTCTTCTAAGAATTGGGTGACCAACTTATTCTGGTTTTCCTAAGATTTGCCCAGTTTTAATACAGAGAGTCTTGCATCCCAGGAACCCTCTCAGTCACAGACAAAGACAACTGGTCACTCTATCAAGGAAGCCTACTATGATCACCCCAGACCTATGGTATTGTAGATACTCAATACCTATACTAATGTTTCTTTCTTTTTTTTAAAGATTTTATTTCTTTATTTGACAGAGAGAGAGAGCACATGCTGAGGGAGTGATAGTCAGAGGGAGAGGGAGAAGCAGGGTCCCCGCTGAACAGGGAGCCCAATGTGGGGCTCGATTCCAGGACCTGGGGATTATGACCTGAGCCAAAGACAGACGCTTAACCAACTGAGCCACCCAGATGCCCAATTTCCTATACTAATGTTTCTTAAGAGATGGATTTGGAGAGGCAGACAGGAGCCAGATCACCAGGGCCTTGCATATCATGGCAAAGAGTTTGGAATTTATTCAGAGAATAGAGGGGTTTTGTCCTAAAGCATCAGCAATGCTATATGAGTTATATACTGCTACGCTACAAATTTCCCACCCTCTAAAGAAGAGTTAGATATCCTTGTGTTTTCCCTGATCTTAGGGGGTAAGCTTCAGTCTCTCACCATTAAGTATGATGTTAGCTTTGGGTTTTTCATAGATGCCCTTTATCAAGTTGAGGAATCTCCTTTCTATTCCTAGTCTGTTGAGTCCTTTATCATGAAAGGGTGTTGTATTTTGTCAAATGATTTTTCTGGATCTATTGAGATGATCATGTGGCTTTTTTTTATTCCATTAATATGGCTTGATACATGAATTGATTTTTGGATGTTAAACTAATCTTGTATTCCTGGGACAAATCCCACTTGGTCATGGCGTATAATACTTTTATGTGTTGCAGGATTTGGTTTGCTAGTATTTGGGGGGGATTTTTGCACCTATATTTTTCAGAGATACCAGACTATAATTTTCTTGTGATAACTTTGTTTTTGGTATCGAGTAATACTGGCTTCATAGAATGAGTTGGTAACTGTTCTCATATCTTCTATTTCTTGGGGTTGTTTATGGGGAACTGGTATTAATTCTTCTTTAGATGTTTGGTAGAATTCTCCAGCAAAACCATCTGGGCCTGGACTTTTCTTTGTGGGTAGTTTTTATATTAATTCAATGTTTTTGGTTGTTACAGGTCTACTCAGATTTTCTATTTTCTTTTTAAATCAGTTTTGGTAGTTTGTGTCTTCTTAGGAATTTGTCCATTTCATCTAAGTTACCTGATTTATTGGCATACAGTTATTTTGAACTATTCTTTGTTTTACATGTTTTTATTGCATATTAAGTAATCAAATTTTCACAACAACCCTATAAAGAGGTAATATCCCCATTGTATAGGTGAAAAAAGTGAAGCACAGACAGTTAACTTGCCCAAGGTCACCCAGCCAATAGGTGGAGGAGCTAGGATTTGAATCCAGGCAGGTTAGCTCTAGAAGACATACTCTTTATCATAACTAGATTATCTGGAGACTACCTTTAAAAGTTCTCATCAGTAGGGACCTGGAATGTATCTGGCCATGTGGAACCTCTCCAGGTACTTCCTTTTTTTTTTTTTTTTTTTTAAACAATACAGTGGTTTTTAAATTATATTCATAGAGTTTTACAGCCATCACCACTATTTAATTTTAGAACTTTTCTTTTTCCTTTTTTATTTTTTTTAAATATTTTATTTATTTATTTGACAGAAAGAGTGAGAGCAGGAACACAAGCAGGGGGAGTGGGAGAGGGAGAAGCAGGCTTCCCGCGGAGCGGGGAGCCTGATGCGGGACTCGATCCCAGGACTCTGGGATCGTGACCTGAGCCGAAGGCAGCCGCTCAACGACTGAGCCACCCAGGCGCCCTAATTTTAGAACTTTTCAACACCCCCCAAAAAACTTGAACCTGTTAGTAGTCCCTTTCTTTTCCCAGGTCCCCCCTTTTAGCCCCCCTTCCCTGCCCCTTTTCAGCCACAGGCAACTACCAATCCACTTTCTTTTGTGGATGCACCTCTATGGGTATGTCTATTCTGGACATTTCATATAAATGGAATCATATGATATCTGCTTTTGGGGGCATTCACTCTTGTTCAGACTGATGATTGTATTTGCCTTCAATTCTCTCTTATTCTGATTTCTAGTCCTCCAGTGATTTGGTCACACTAGGTTAGTTACCAATTGGATGTGCAGTCCTGTTCAAAACAAAGCTTTGAATCTGACCCATGTGAACAAATGTCTATTGTCTTTTTATTCTCTCCTTTGGGAAAGTATCTCATGAATAGCTTAGGTTGAAGGGGATGTGGTTAGATACCACCAACATTAAGTACCAGCCCACCTTTCTAAGCCTTCATAAGCTTCTCTCTCATAATTTTCTCATAAGCCTTCAAACAATATTAATTTCAGCCTACATTTTACCAGATGCCTGGTGCTGATAGACAAAGATAAATAAATGCAGCTAGTGGGCGCCTGGGTGGCTCAGTCGTTAAGCGTCTGCCTTCAGCTCAGGTCATGATCCCAGGGTCCTGGGATCGAGTCCCACATCGAGCTCCCCGCTCAGCGGGAAGCCTGCTTCTCCCTCTCCCGCTCCCCCTGCTTGTGTTCCTGCTCTCGCTGTCTCTCTCTGTCAAATAAATAAATAAAATCTTTAAAAAAAAAAAATAAATGCAGCTAGTGAGGGAGATTGATATAATAACAGATAACTCATACAATGTATTAGAATAAAGACTTTACATATGAATAAAGGAAATAATTCATATTTAGTAAAGTATAACCTAGATTTTAGGGGAAATTTTTCAGAAAAGTGTGAGAACCTAGGCCATAGAAACTATATAGTGTGCTTTGTTGATTCACTATGGTACCCATTGATTTTTACCCTTTAATCTGTCTCTTGAGGTTGAAGTCCTTTCCCCTTTTATAAATATAGCAACAAAATGAGATGGTTGGTGAGGATTCTAGGAACTACATTCTTCTTAATCAGACATTGTTTCCTTTACAGTTATAAGCTGGAACCCTCACCAGTAGTAGTCTCTACTACCTTGGTACCAAATATTATGGAGAAACCACTCATTCTGGAGATACCTACCATCTCTAAAACAACCACTACTGAGGAGGTATCATTTTTCAAAAAGCCATTAATTTTAAAAAAGGAACTCACTACTGAGGATACAAGCGTTTTCAAGAGGTCATTATCTTTAAAGAAGTCCACAAATCAGGGGGAGGTATCCCTCATGGAGAAGCCACCATCCTTACAGGAGGAAGCTGACAACACTGATGAGTTTGTTGTAGAGCCAGTGACTTTTGGGAAGAAGCATAAAACTGGGGAGGCAGCCATCACCAAAGGAACATTATCTTTAAAGAAGATGTGTACATATCAGGGGGATTTGGCTTTGCAGGACATCACTGTTGAAGGGGATTCCTTCTTTATGGAGCCAACAAACTTTAGAAAGAAGCCTAAAACAGAGGAGGCAACCCCCACCAAGAAGGTGTTATCTTTAAGGAAGAAGAAGAAGTATACTGCTCAGGGGAAGGTGTCCCATATGGAGAAACCACTAGTATTTCAGAAGACCACCTCTGAAGAGGAGTCCCTCATTAAGGAGCCACTGGCTTTCAAGAAGAAACCTACCAGCAAGGAGGCAACCTTCACCTTGAGGCCATTATCTTTAAAGAAGTGTACTATTCAAGGGAAGTTGGCTCACTTGAAAAAGCCATTAGAATTGCAGAAGACCACCTCTGGAGAGAAGGCACTCATTAAGGAGCCATTGGAGTCTCTCTTCCAGGAGCCATCTGCATTGCAAGGGAAGCACACCACTGGTGGGGAGGTGGTCCTCTTGAAGAAGCCACAGGCATTGCAGGAGGAGAAGGACGGTAAAGATAAATATCTTATGGAGCCAATGTCCCTTAGGAAGAAACGTACTACCAAGGAGACAAACCCCACCAAGAAACCATTACCTGTAAAGAAGAAGTGTACCATTCAGGGGAAGATGTACCACTTGAAGAAGCCACTAGCATTGCAAAAGATCACCTCTGGAGAGAAGTCATTCGTTAAGGAGCCACGGTCCCCTAAGAAGAAGGACACCACTGAGGAGTCCCTTTTCCATGAGCCACCCACGTTGCAAGAGGAGCACACCACTCAGGAGGAGGTGTCCATCTTGAAGAAGGCCTTGACCTTGCAAAAGACTCTAACTGAGAAGGAGTCACTTTTAAAGGAGCCTTTGGCTTTTAAGAAGAAACGTACCATTGAGGAGGCAACCCCCACCAAGATGCTATTATCTTTAAAGAAGAAAAAGTGTATTAGTCAGGGCAAGGTGTCCTGCTTGAAGAAGCCACTAGTATTGAAGGCCACCTCTGGAGAGAAGTTGTCCTTTAAAAAGAAGTCTACCACCGAGGAGGAGTCTCTCTTCAAGGAATCACCTATGTTGCAAGAGAAGCATACCACGCATGGGGAGGTGGCTCTTTTGAAGAAGCCAGGGGCATTGCAGGAGAATGTTGATGGTGAAGATGAATTTCTTATGGAACCAGTTCCCTTTAGGAAGAAACATACCACAGATGAGGCAGTCTCTACCAAGGAGCCTTTATCTTTAAAGAAGAAAAAGTGTGCCTCTCAAATAATGATGTCCATCTGCCAAGAACTGTTGGATTTGCAGAATATGATTGGCAAAGATAAGGAGTCCTTGTCACTTAGGAAGAAGTCTTCAACTGAGGAGGAAATCCTTACCAAGACACCGTTATCTTTAAAGAAAAAGCAATTCATGCAGGGGAAGATGTTCCTCTTAAAGAAGCCACTGGTCTCAGAGAAGACCACCTCTGAAGAAGAGTCACTCTTTAAGAAGCTATTGCCCTTTAATAGAAAGTCTATAACTGAAGAGGAGTTCCTCTTCCAGGATCCACCTGTATTGAAAGAGAAGCACACCACTCTGCAGGAGGTGTCCCTCTCAACTAAGCCATTGGCCTTGCCAGAAAAGACCACCACTGAAGAAGAATCGTATATTAAGGAACCAGTGACCTTAGAGGAGAAGCCTACTACTGAGGAGGAATTCCTTTCTCAGGAGCCATTTTCATTGCATGTTAAACCTACCAGCAAAGATGAGTCCCTCTTCTGGAAGGCTTTGGGCTTGCAGAAGAAGACTGATACCAAAGAGGATTCCTTGAAGAAGATGTTGGCTTTGCAGGAGAAGTGCACTACTGAAGAGGAATCCCTTTTAAATAAACCATTGGTTCTGAAGGGGGAGCTCTCCACCGAGGTGGCAACAAGCATTGAGAAGCAATTATCTTTAAAGAAGAAACCCATTGCTCAGGGAGAAGTGTTCCTCTTGAAGAAGCATTTGGCCTTGCAAGAGAATATCACCAATGAAGAGTCCTTTATTAAGCAACCACTGGCTTTTCAGAGGCCCAGCATTGAGGGGACCATCCCAAGGGAGTCCTTGGCCTTGCAAGAGAATCCCACAGTTGAAGAAGAAGCTACCCTGAGGGGGCCCTTGGCCTTGCAGGAGAAGCCCAGCAGGGAGAAGGAGACTGTCTTCAAGGAGCCATTGTCCTTTCAGGAGAAACCTACCCTCAACAAGACATTCCATGTCAAGGAGACATTTGCCTTGAATGAGAAACCCACCACTGGGAAGGAGTTGTCCCTGAAGGAGCCATTGGCCTTGCAAGAGAATCCCACCCAAAAGGAAGATAACTCTCTCAAAGATTTCTTGATCCTCCAAGTTGAAACCAGCTCATATGTGTCCAGCACTGCCCCCGAACCCAGAACAGGCCTGTCCAGTGTGGGCAAGTTCAATATCACAAGCAAGTCCAGTGCTTGTGAATCCAGTTCCAGTAAACCTTCCTCATCTTGGGGCAAGAGGTCACAGAAGGAGGTATCCTGTTCTCTTTCTTCTTAAATTAGATGATGTGTTCTTTGTTGTCCTGTAGGTGGCCGCTAGCAAAGAGATTTTTTTTTGCCTTCCTAAGCAATTGGTCTGGATATAGTAAGCTATAGTAAATCAAGTTGTCCTTGTGGGATCTCTTGACTTTCTGATTGGCATAGAAATACACCCAAACAATTAGAAATTATTTATTCCAGGAATACCCACAAGGATCTAGAATATTGTGTGTGTGTGTGTGTGTGTGTGTGTAAATTGCCTTTCTTATTAATTGCAATCTGCATTACAGTGGACTCCAGTCAAAGATGAGTAAAGTCTACAGAGGCATCTCCCAAGGAAGATGGTATTTAAGTTGAAAATTGGAAGGATGAAGGAATGAGATTTGGCAAGCAGGAGGAGAAATACCCCTCTTGTAGGCAAAACAAACTGGGTAGAGGTGTAGAAGGGAGGAAAAGGCTACCAAGAAGATGAATTGGGTTAGATCAAAGCATTGGGACAAAACAAGTGACTTAAGAAGATACGTGACATAATTTGAAATAGTAAAATAAGAGTGTTTTTCCTGGAGAGTCTTGAACTTACCTGTAAAAATGGTGCCTAGTTCCTAGGGCAGAGTAGGCATGTACAAGAAGGACTAAACATTTCTTGGTCACTTGGCAGTATGAGGATTGAAGGACCAAGGGGTGCTCTGTTGTGGCCCAGGATGTATGAGGCTTGAGGAACCTTAGCAGAAGATGACAGTGGGAAGAAAGAAGTATATCCTTTATGTGTGTGTGCTAAGCCTTCCTTGGAATTTTTCTCCTCCTAATATCTTTTTGGTGATTTCCAAGCAGGTAGCCCCATTGGAGGATATTGACAAGAACCACAGTGATCCATTTTTCAACCCAATATATGCCAAGGATATCTTCAGTTACATGAAAGAGAGAGAGGTATGTAGGTGGCTGTTGGAGGGGAAGGATTTCTAGGTCTCATTTCCTCATCATTCCATCCTTCAAATGCAAGTTGAAAGGGGGAGGTAATGATGATGATTAAAATAATAACAGCAACAACTGACATCAACTGGTAGCTTACCATAAGTTAGACATTGAGACTAAGGGGTTTATAGACATTATCTTGTTTAATTCTCCCAATAACTTCATGATGGTATGTATTATTATCTCCTTTTTATAGATTGGAGAAACTGCTCAGAATCACACAACTAGTATATGGTAGAGCTGGGATATGGGCTAAAAGTCTGATTACCTTGAAGACCATAAGCCTGTGCCTCTAATTGTTGAGGAGACAGTCTCAGACACAAAAATAGTAGTCTTCTTCTGAGTGGCTGCTCTTTGAGATCTTTTCCCTTCCCTATGCAAGTTTCTGGCATCATATGTAGAATCACTCTCCAACCTGGTGACATTTTCTTCCTCCTTTAAAATCAGCCAGTCTCCTTGACCACTAAGATTCATTGATTCCAAATTTTCTTCTCTTTCTCTCTCTAAACGAAACAGATGGGACCAAGATTATCTACCAACTAAAATTTTAGCAGGCCATGCATAAGAGGGAGGATGAATATCTTGTCTTTAGAGACATAACATTTGATTTACTGACTCCAGACCCTTCACTTTTTCTAGTGTAGCTTGGAGGAAGTAAGAGATAATTTGGTATACTACAAGTATGGGCCTTAGCTCAGCAGTGTCAGTTTTACTTGGGATCTTGTTAGAAATGCAGGAACCTAGCCCCACCCAGACCTTCTAAATTAGAATGTGAATTTTAAAGATCCCCAGGTGGTATATGTGTTAAAGTTTGCGAACCACTGCTCTACACAGCATGGCATTGTGCTTCAGATTGAATTGCAAAGAAGGGACAGAACCTCTTTGATATTCATCTATAGTCATAGGTGTGTTCCTGCCCATATTCCATATTCCGCCTGGACTCCTCCATATCCACCCTGACACTTGAATATGATGTGCATCCATTTCCCAAGGATAACTAGAACTTGTCTGGAAAAGGAGACTTTGATCGGCCCCTATCTGATACCAGCTGAAAATAATGAGTTAGAACTGAAGAAGTTAATTATGTTGTTACAATTCCTTTTTCTGAGATATTAGTTGCAAGTATTTTTTTCCTAAGTTACAATTTTTGAACTATAAGAAGAGTTTATGGATTAATATTTCTTTTTTATTGCTGCCAGGAAAAGTTCATACTTAAAAAATACATGAACAGGCAGACTGACATCAGCAGTTGCATGAGGGCCATTCTTGTGGACTGGTTGGTAGAGGTGCAGGTAAGCCTGACAACTGCTGCTTTAAGGGGCTGCTCTTCTCTTTATTGATTATTCATTCAGTATCACCAGATGCCAAGCATGGTAAAAATTTTCTGGGTCTACAGAGCTGAGCCACGGTTCCTGCCTTCAGGGAGCTTATGATCTAGGGGGCAAGATAAGACATGCAGACAGATATGAGTACAATAAAAAGTAGAATACACTAGGTACTGTAAGAATGTTATATATAAGATACTGTGAGAACCCAGTGGAAGGAGAGACTATTTCTAGAAGAGGCAATGACGGTATGGTAGTTTAATCATTCTCAAAATTTTGTAAAAGTCTATTTAGTGATTTGGATAGGGGTCAGTGACAAAGTCTTTCAAGATTTGGGTGAGATCAGTGATAGGGACAGTGTGGCAGACATGGCAGGACCAGACATGGCAGGTAGCTATTTGTCCAGGGTTGGATGTTGAGGGAATAGTGCTATGAATACTTAATTATCATTTTAGACAAAGGAAGGAGAGTCCAGAATAGTACCTGGCACATAGTGGAGTGTCAATAAATATTTGTTGAATGAATGGAATTGAATGGCTTGCAATGGAGTTTGCAAGAAAATATAAGGCATAGGCTATGCCCAGAAGAGTCTTAACTATATAATTAGGAATAAAAGGTAATATAGTTTAATATCCTTTATTCAGTACCAGAGGAGTGGTTCAGGGTCACTTTGAAGTAACAGACCAGGAAAATGTGGTAGACACGATTTATTTGGATATCAATAAAGCATGAAAATGCCTCTCATCTTATGAAAATAATAATAAATTAGATAAGAGTATAATTTGGGGGTGTCTGGGTGGCTCAGTCAGTTGAGTGTCCAACTCTTGGTTTTGGATCAGGTCATGATCTCAGGATGGTGAAATCAGGCCCTGCCTTGGGCTCCACGTTTAGCTGGGAGTCTGCTTGAGATTCTCTCTCTCCTTTTCCCTCTGCCCCTCTTTCCCCCGCCCTCTCAAATAAATAAATAAATCTTTAAAAAAAAAGGAGTAGAATTTGGGTAGATCTTACATAAATAAAGCTGATCCCAAAGATTGCTGATCATTATTAAGCTAGAAGGAGACTTCTGGAAGATTGCCAGTGGACTTTGTTCTAATCAACATTTTTATTAGTGATGTAAATGAGAACAGAAAAGATAAACTCATCAAATATTGCATGGCGTGAGACTAGGAATAGAGATAGGAAATAAATGGATATCAGAGATAAAATATCTACTAGCTGGAATGATGAACTGAATCTTTTAAAAAAGCTTTTGTTATTTTTATTGCACAAAAACTCGCATTTGTTATAGCAAAGTAATAAATTATGATTACCTGTGATCCCACAACTCACAACCACAGTTAATATTTGTGTGTGTATATTATTCCTCCACTTTAAGTGGTGGTCATTTACTTTAGGGGTGCACCTCTAGTGCATGGATCATAGAATCACAGACGCCCAGGTCCCATACCATACTATCAAATCAGAATTGTGGGGGTGTGGCCCAGGCACATATATATATTTTCTGTTTTTTTTAAAGAATTTTTTATTACTTTATTCATCATGATAAGTGTACTCTTTAATCTCCATCACCTGTTTCACCCTCCCCCCCCACCCACCTCCCCTCTTGTAACCATCAGTTTGTTCTCTATAGTTAGAGTCTGTTTCTTGGTTTGTCTTTCTCTCTTTTTTTCCCTTTACTCTTTTGTTTCGTTTCTTAAATTCTTCATATGAGTAAGATCATATGGTATTTGTCTTTCTCTGATGGACTTACTTCACTTAACATCATACTCTCTAGCTCCATCCATGTTGTTGCAAACAGCAAGATTTCATTCTTTTGTATGGCTGAATAATATTCCATTATGTATATATACCATATCTTCTTTATCCATTCATCTGTTGATGGACACTTGGGCTGCTTCCACAGTTTGGCTATTGTAAGTAATGCTGCAGTAAACATAGGGGTGCATGTATCCCTTTGAATTAGTGTTTTTGTATTTTTTGGGTAAAGGGGCACATATATTTTTATAAAGCTCCACAAGTGATTTTTTTTTAAGATTTTACTTGTCAGAGAGAGAGAGAGCACAAGCAGGGGGAGTGGCAGGCAGAGGGAGAAACAGGATCCCTGCTGAGCAGGGAGCCCGATGTGGGGCTCGATCCCAGGACCCCGGGATCATGACCCGAGCCAAAGGCAGACGCCCAACCATCTGAGCCACCCAGGCGCCCCTCCACAAGTGATGTTAATGTACACCTTTTGATAGAGAATCACAGTTCTAGAAAACATATATAGTGTTTTTATAACTTTAATTTTCATATTTTTAAATGGTAAATTGGACTTTTGAGTATATAGTTCTACGAAATTTTAACATTTGTTTTGAAATAAGATTCACAAGAAGTTGCAAAAAACAGTATAGGGAAGTCCTGTGTAACTTTCACCTACTTTCTCCCGGTGGTAACATTTCACATAACTATAATTAGTGTCATAATTAAGGTCTATAGGCCTTATTTAAATTTCATAAATTTTACATGTATTTATTTGTTGTGTGTGTTTTGTCTGTATAGTTTTATCAAACATAAAAATTTTGTAAGCACTACCACCACAGTTGAGACACAACTGTTCCATTACTACAAGGATCCCTCATGTTACCCTTTTATAGCAACAGCCGTCTTCCTCCCCTCCCCTTCCTGTTCCTGGGAACTCCTAATTTGTTTTCACATCTATATCTTTGTAATTTCATAAATGGTATATAAATGAAATCATACAGTACATAGCCTTTTGAGATTGACTTTTATCATTCACCATAATTCCCTTGAGATCCACCTGTAGTGCGTAAGAGTTCTGGTTGCTCTGTATCCTTGTCAGCACTTGGTATTAGTATTTTTTAATTTTAGCCATCTAATAGGTGGGTAGAGGAGTCTCACTATAGTTTTAATTTGCATTTCCTCAAGGGCTAATAATGTTGAACATCATACTTGTCATCCATATATCCTCTTTGGTCAAGTGTCTTAAGTCTTGCCCATTTCTTAAATGGGTAGTTTTTTTTTATTATTATTATGTTCAATTAGCCAATATATAGTATATTTTCTTTGTATCAAGTTATTGAGAGTTCTTTACATATTCTGGATACAAATTCTGTGTTGGATATGTGATTTGCAAATACATCCTACCAGTCTGTAGCCTTTTTATTCTCTTATTTGGGTCTTTCACAGAGCAGAAGGTTTTTTTTTTTTTTTTTAAATTTTTATAGTCTAGGTTTTCAGTGTTTTCTGTTATGGATTGTGCTTTTTAAGAATTCTCTGCCTGAACCTAGGTCATGAGTATTTTCTCATATTTTATCTGAAAGTTTCATAGTTTTAACATTAAATCTGTAATCCATCTTTTTTTAAAGATTTTTTAAAAAATTTTATTTATTTGACATAGAGACAGAGAGGGAACGCAAGCAGGGGGAGTAGGAGAGGGAGAAGCAGGCTTCCCTCTGAGCAGGGAGCCTGATGCGGGGCTCGATCCCAGGACGCTGGGATCATGACCTGAGCTGAAGGCAGACGCTTAACCGTCTGAGCCACCCAGGCACCCCTGTAATCCATTTTGAGTTAATTTTTGTATAGTATGAGGTTTTTGAGGTCAAAGTTCTTCTTCTTTTTTTTTTTTGCATATGTATCTCCATTTGTTCTAACACCATTTGTGGGAAAATATACTTTTTTCCTACTAAATTGCTTTTGCATCTTTACCAAAAATCTGTTGACCTTATTTGTGTGGATCTATTTCTATACTTATTTCTATACTTTATTCTGTTTTATTGATGTCTGTGTCTGTCACTTTGCCAATATCACACTGTCTATTCCTGTAGTTTTATAGAAAGTCTTAAAACTAGGTAATGTGATCTGTCCAGCTCCATTCTTCTTTTTCATAATTGTTTTAGTTATTCTCATTCATTTGCTTTTCTATATAAATTTTAGAATCAGTTTGTTTATATCTCCAAAAAAATCCTGCTGAGAGTTTGATTGGAATTGAGTTACATCTTGTGCAGAAAAGAGTTAACAGGCCAAATACTGCTATCCTTAGAAAGTCCTGTTTGCAAAGTTGGCCCTTGTCTGGGCATCTGAGAAGTTGACTGGTAAACAGTTCCCTACACTGCTATAAAACCCTCCTTTAATGATAACTGTGCCTAAACTCTTTGTATTAACAATGTGGTTTAGTGATGAACACTGGGGAGGGTATGTGCTGTGGTGAGCACTGTGAATTGTGTAAGACTGATGAATCACAGACCTGTACCCCTGAAACAAATAATACGTTATATGTTAGTTAAAAAAAAGCAATGTGGTTTATTCTGAACACCTGCTTTCCTTTTGTGAGTCTGAAATTTTGGTACATGCTAGGCAGAGAGTGTTTACATGACTAGCTCCCAATAAAATCTTAGGCACTGAGTTTCCCTGGTAGACAGCACTTTACATGTATTGTCACGTCTCATTCCTGGAGGAATTAAGTGCATCCTGAGTGACTGACTTTATTGGGATAAGACTCTTGAAAGCTTGTTTCTTGTTTTTGGCAAGTTTTGCCCATGTTCTCATTTACTTGATTTTGCTTTCTATCTTTTGTTATAATAAATCATAGCCATAAGTATGACTATATGCTGAGTCCTATGACTAGGAATCATTGTACCTTGGGGTGGTCTTGCGGACCATCAATACACATCTATAGGTGAATTTGAAAAGAATTAACATCTTTTCTGTGTTGAATCTTCCATACCCACGAATGTGGTATGTCTTTTGTTTATTTCGGTTTTCTTTGATTTCTATCTTTTTACCATATAGATCCTGTACATGTTTTGTTAGATTTATACCAAAATATTTTCTTTTCTTGGAGCTGCTGTAAATGATATTTTTCTTAATTTAAATTCAACTAGCCAACATATAGTACATCATTAGTTTCTGATGTGGTATTGTAAATGATATTTTTTAAAAATGTAGTTTTCCATTTGTATACTAGTATG